GTTTAAGTTCCTTGTAGATTCTGTATATTAGCCCTTTGTCAGATAGGTAGATTGCAAAAATTTTCTCCCATTCTGTAAGTTGCCTGTTCACTCTGTTAGTTTCTTTTGCTCTGCAGAAGCTTTTTAATTAGATCCCATTTGTCAATTTTGGCTTTTGTTGTCACTGATTTTGGTGTTTTAGTCATAAAGTTTTTGCCCATACCTATATCCTAAAAGGTATTGCTTGGGGTTTGGTTTTTATGGATTTAGGTCTTACGTTTAAGCCTTTAATCCGTCTTAGGTTAATTTTTGTATAAGGCGTAAGGAAGGCGTCGTTTCGGTTTTCTGCATATGGCTAGCCAGTTTTCCCAACACCATTTATTAAATAGGGAATCCTTTCCCCGTTGCTTGTTTTTGACAGGTTTGTCAAAGATCAGATGGTTGTAGATGTGTGGTGTTATTTCAGAGGCCTCTATTCTGTTCCATTGGTGTATATGTCTGTATTGTTTGAAGTCAGGTAGCATGATGCCTCCGGCTTTGTTCTTTTTGCTTAAAATTGTCATGGCTATATGGCCTCTTTTTTGGTTCCATATGAAATTTAAACTAGTTGTTTCTACTTCTGTGAAGAAAGTCAGTGGTAGCTTGATGGGGATAGTATTGAATCTATAAACTACTTTGGGCTGTATGGCCATTTTCACGATATTGATTCTTCCTATCCATGAGCATGAAATGGTTTTCTATTTGTTTGTGTTCTCTCTCATTTCCTTGAGCAGCGGTTTGTAGTTCTTCTTGAAGTGGCCCTTCACTTCCTTTGTAAGTTGTATTCCTAGGTATTTTATTCTGTTTGTAGCAGTTGTGAGTGTGAGTTCACTCATGATTTGACTCTCTGCCTATTACTGGTGTATTGGAATGCTTGTGATTTTTGTACATTGATTTTGTATCCTGAGACTCTGCTGAAGTTGCTTATCAGCTTAAGGAGGTTTTGAGCTGAGACGATGGGGTTTTCTAAATATACAATCATGTCATCTGCCAACAGACAGTTTGACTTTCTCTCTTCCTATTTGAATATCCTTTATTTTTTTCTCTTGCTTGATTGCTGTGACCAGAACTTCTAACACTATGTTGAATAGGAGTGGTGAGATAGGGCATCCTTGTATTATGCTGGTTTTCAAAGGGAATGCTTCGAGCTGTTGCCCATTCAGTATGATATTGGCTGTGGGTTTGTCACAAATAGCTCTTAGTATTTTGAGATACGTTGCATCAGTACCTAATTTATTGAGAATTTTTAGCATGATGGAGTGTTAAGTTTTATCTAAGGCCTTTTCTGCGTCTATTGAGATAATCATGTGGTTTTTGTCATTGGTTCTGTTTATGTGATGGATTACATTTATTGTTGTGCGCATGTTGAACCAGCCTTGCATCCCAGGGATGAAGCCGACTTGATCGTGGTGGATAAGCTTTTTGATGTGCTACCAGATTCGGTTTGCCAGTATTTTATTAAGGATTTTCGCCTTGATGTTCATCAGGAATATTGGGCTGAAATTTTCTTTTTTTGTTGTGTCTCTGCCAGGTTTTGGTTTCAGGATGATTCTGGCCACATAAAATGAGTTAGAGAGGAGTCCCTTTTTTCTGTTGTTTGGAATAATTTCAGAAGAAATGATACCAGCTGTTCTTTGTACCTCTGGTAGAATTAGACTGTGAATCTATCTGATCGTGGACTTTCTTTGATTGGTAGGCTATTAATTACTGCCTCAGTTTCAGAACTTGTTATTGGTCTATTCAGGGATTTAACTTCTTCCTGGTTTAGTCTTGGGATGGTGTATGTGTCCAGGAATTTAGCCATTTCTTCTAGATTTTCTAGTTTATTTGCATAGAGGTGTTTATAGTATTCCTTGATGGTAGTTTTTATTTCTGTGGGATCAGTGGTGATATCCCGTTTATCGTTTTTTATTGCATCTATTTGATTCTTCTTTCTTTTCTTTATTAGTCTGGCTAATGATCTATCGATTTTGTTGGTCTTTTCAAAAAAAACCACTCCTGGATTCATTTTTTTTTTTTTTTTTTTTTTTTAAGTTTTTTTTTTTTTTTTTTTTTTTTTTTTTTTTTTTTTTTTCTTTCTGAAGGGTTTTTTGTGTCTCTGTCTCCTACAGTTCTGGTCTAATCTTAGTTATTTCTTGTCTTCGGCTAGCTTTTGAGTTTGCTTGCTCCTGCTTCTCTACTTTTCATTGTGATGTTAGGGTATCAGTTTTCAGTCTTTCCTGTTTTCTCCTTTGGGCATTTAGTGCTATAAATTTACCTCTAAACACTGCTTTAGCTGTGTCCTGGAGATTCTGGTACACTGTATCTTTGTGCTCATTGGTTTCAAAGAACTAATTTATTTCTGCCATAATTTCGTTTTTTTATCCAGTAGTCATTCAGGAACAGGTTGTTCACTTTCAATGCAGTTGTGTGGTTTTGAGTGAGTTTCTTGATCCTGAGTTCTAATTTGATTGCACTGTGGTCCGAGAGACTGTTTGTTATGATTTCCTTTCTTTTGCATTTGCTGAGGAGTGTTTTCCTTTCAATTACATGGTTGACTTTAGCATAAGTGCTATGTAGTGCTGAGAAGAATGTATATTCTGTTGATTTGGGGTGGAGAGTTCTGTAGTTGTCTATTATGTTTGCTTGGTTCAGAGCTGAGTTCAAGTGAATATCCTTGTTAATTTTCTGTCTTGTTGATCTGGCTAATATTGACAGTGGGGTGTTAAAGTCTCCCATTATTATTGTGTGGGAGTCTACATCCCTTTGTAGGTCTCTAAGAACTTGCTTTATGAATCTGGGTCCTCCTGTATTGGGTGCATATATATTTAGGATAGTTAGCACTTCTTGTTACCTTGATCCCTTTACCATTATTTAATGCCCTGCTTTGTCTTTTTTGATCTTAGTTGTTTTAAACTCTGTTTTATCAGAAACTAAAATTGCAACCCCTGCTTTTTTTTGCTTTCCATTTTCTTGGTAAATATTCCTTCATCCCTTTATTTTTTAGGCAAAGACATCGCAGGCAAAGACACACAGCCTATGTGTGTCTTTGCATATGTGATGGGTTTCCTGAATACAGCACACCAATGGGTCTTGACTCTTTATCCAATTTGCCAGCCTGTGTCTTTTAATTGGGGCATTTAGCCCATTTACATTTACAGTTAATATTGTTGTATATGAATTTGATCCTGTCATTGTGATGTTAGCTGGTATTTTGCCTGTGAGTTGATGCAATTTTTTCATAGTGTCAATGGTCTTTACAATTTGATATGTTTTTTGCAGTGGTTGGTACTGGTTTTCCTTTCTATATTTAGTGCTTCCTTCAGGAGTTCTCATAAGGCAGGCCTGGTGGTTAGAAAATCTCTCAGCAATTGCTTGTTCATAAAGGATTTTGTTTCTCCTTTGCTTATAAAGCTTAGTTTGGCTAGACATGACATTCTAGGTTGAAAGTTCTTTTCTTTAATGATGTTGAATATATGCCCCCACTTTCTTCTGGCTTGTAGGGTTTCTGTTGAGAGTCTGATGGGCTTCCCTTTGTTGAGTAACCTGATCTTTCTTTCTGGCTGCCCTTAGCATGTTTTCCTTCATTTCAACCCTGGTGAATGTGACAATCATGTACTTAGGGGTTACTCTTCTTGAGGAATATCTTTGTGGTGTTCTCTGTATTTCTTGGACTTGAATGTTGGCCTGCCTTGCTATGTTGGGAAAGTTCTCCTGGATAATAACCTGAGAAGTGTTTTCCACCTTGGTTTCATTTTCTCCATCGCTCTCAGGTACACTAATCAAACATAGGTTTGGTCTTTTTAGATAGTCCCATATTTCATTGGGACTTTGTTCATTCCTTTTCATTCTTCTCTAATCTTGTCTTCACACTTTATTTCATTAGGTCAATCTTCAGTCTCTGATATCATTTCTTCCACTTGATCCATTTGGCCATTGATACTTTTATATGCTACACAAAGTTCTTGTGCTGTGTTTTTCAGCTCCATCAGGTCATTTATGGCTTTCTCTAAACTTGTTATTCTAGTTAGCAATTCCGCTAACCTTTTTTGAGGTTCTTAGCTAGGGTTAGAACATGCTCCCTTAGGTCAGAGGAGTTTGTTATTATCCACCTTTTGAAGACTACTTCTGTCAATTTGTCACATTCTCTGAACACTTTTGTTCCCTTGCTGGAGAGGAGCTGTGATCCTTTGGAGAAGTACTCTGGGTTTTGGAATTTTCAGCCTTTTTGCACTGGCTTTTCCTCTTCTTCATGGATTTATCTGCCTTTGGTCTTTGATGATGGTGACCTTTGGATGGGGTTTCTGTGTGGACATCCTTTTTGTTGATGTTGATACTGTTTTTTCTGTTTGTCAGTATTCCTTCTAACAGTAAGGCCACATGCCAGCCAGAGCTCTCTTATATGAGGTGTCTGTCTACCCCTGTTGGGAGGTGTCTCCCAGTCAGGAGGCATGGGGATCGGGGATCCACTTGAGGAGGCAGTCTGTCCCTTGTCAGAGCTTGAGTCCTGTGGTGGGAGATCCACCGCTCTCTGCAGAGCTGGCAGGCAGGAACGTTTAAGTCTGCTGAAACTGTGCCCACAGCCGCTCCTTCCCCCAGGTGTTCTGTCCCAGGGAGATGGAAGTTTTATTTATAAGCCCTTGACTGGGGATTCTTCCTTTCTTTAAGAGATGCCCTGCCCAGAGAGGAGAAGTCTAGAGAGGCAGTCTGACTACAGCGGGTTTGCTGCACTTTGGTGGGCTCCATCCAGTTCAATCTTGCTGGTGGCTTTGTTTACACTGGGAGGGGAAAACTGCCTACTCAAGCCTCAGTAATGGCGACGCCCTTCCCCCACCAAGCTTGACTGTCCCAGGTCGAGCTCAGACTGCTGTGCTGGCAGCGAGAATTTCAAGCCAGTAGATCTTAGCTTGCTGGGTCCTGTTGGGTGTGGGATCTGCTGAACTAGACCACTTGGCTCCCTGGTTTCAGCCTCCTTTCCAGGGGAGTGAACAGTTCTGTCTCACTGGCATTATGGGCATCACTCGGGCATGAAAAAATCTCCTGCAGCTAGCTCAGTGACTGCCCAAAGTGCCACCCTGTTTTGTGCTTAAAACCCAGGGCCCTGGTGGCGTAGGCACCTGAGGGAATCTCTTGGTCTGCGGGTTGCGAAAACTGTGGGAAAAGCTTAGTATCTAGACCAGAATACACCTTTCCTCACAGCACGGTCCCTCATGGCTTCCCTTGGCTAAGGGATTGAGTTTCCAACCTCTTATGCTTCGCAGGTGAGGCAGTGCTCCACCCTACTTCTGCTTACCCTCTGTGGGCTGCACCCACTGTCTAACCAGTCCCAGGGATATGACCCGAGCACCTCATTTGGAAATGCAGAAATAACCCGCCTTCTGCATTGATCTCACTGAGTGCTGCAGACCCAAGTTGTTCCTATTCAGCAATCTTGGCCTGATGCTCCTTATATTCTTAAAGATTTCAACTTCAGGTGCTGGGGCAGCTGCCGCTGAGTCTGGATCTCGCTGCTGCGAGCCCCCAACGCCCGCCCAGTGTGCATTCCTGGTTCCTTTTGGTTCCAAGTCCAAAATGGCAACTCTCAAGGATCAGCTGATTCATAATTTTCTAAAGGAAGAACAGACCCCCAGAATAAGATTACAGTTGTTGGGGTTGGTGTTGTTGGTATGGCCTGTGCCATCAGTATCCTTTTTGTTGTTTTGTTTTGTTTGTTTGTTTGTTTGTTTTACTTTTATTTTATTGCATTTCAGGTTTTGGGGTACACGTGAAGAATGTGCAAGATTGTTGCATAGGTACACACGTGGCAGTGTGATTTGCTGCCTTCCTCCCCATCACCTATATCTGGCATTTCTCCCCATGTTATCTCTCCCCAACTCCCCAGCCCCCACTGACTCTCCCTATTTCCCCCCAACAGACCCCTGTGTCTAGTGCTCCCCTCCCTGTGTCCATGTGTTCTCATTGTTCAATACCCGCCTATGAGTGAGAACATGCGGTATTTGATCTTCTGGTCTTGTGTCAGTTTGCTGAGAATGATGGTTTCCAGGTTCATCCATGTCCCTGCAAAGGACAAAAACTCATCATTTTTTATGGCTGCATAATATTCCATGGTGTATATGTGCCACATTTTCCCTGTCCAGTCTATCATCGATGGGCATTTGGGTTGGTTCCAAGTCCTTGCTGTTGTAAACAGTGCCGCAGTGAACATTCGTGTGCACATGTCCTTATAGTAGAATGATTTATAATCCTTTGGATAAATACCCAGTAATGGCATTGCTGGGTCAAATGGAGTTTCTGTTTCTAGGTCCTTGAGGAATCGCCACACTGTCTTCCACAATGGTTGAACTAATTTACACTCCCAAGAACAGTGTAAAAGTGTTCCTATTTCTCCACATCCTCTCCATCATCTGTTGTCTCCAGATTTTTTAATGATCACCATTGTAACTGGTGTGAGATGGTATCTCAATGTAGTTTTGATTTGCATTTCTCTGATGACCAGTGATTATGAGCATTTTTTCATGTTTGTTGGCCTCATGTATGTCTTCTTTTGCAAAGTATCTGTTCATATCCTTTTCCCACTTTTGAATGGGCTTGTTTGCTTTTTTCTTGTAAATCTGTTTTAGTTCTTTGTAAATTCTGGATATCAGCCCTTTGTCAGATGGGTAAACTGCAAAAATTTTTTCCCATTCTGTTGGTTACTGATTCACTCTA